CAACACAACCAGAACTGGACACCAACCAGAAAAGTCAGACCAATCTCCAATTTCCCCTACTGGGTAGCAGAATATGAACCAAAAAAAAACATCAACCCTCGCTGGTACCAGTCAGTCCTAACTGAAATTTCTACGAATGAAATTAAAAAAGCAATACAAGATAGAAACGCAAAATCAGCTCCTAGGAGAAATCAGATCCCCTACATAACCTATAAAAAACTTGAAGCCAAAGTAATAGAAGAAATCCATTTCCTTTTTAACAGAATCATAAGAGAAGGGAACACCCCAAAAGACTGGAGTAAAGGAGCCATCTACCCAATACCCAAATCAAAAGACTGGCAAAACAACCTAGACATCACAAGACCGATCACAGTTTTGAATGCAGGAAGGAAGATATTCACAAAAATTATTACAGATAGACTGGCACAATGCATAGGAGACCACAAGATCCTCTCAGAACTAAATTGGACAGCACTTTCTGACTGCAGCACACAAGAACCAATCCATATATTAAATAATATTATTGAACATACAAAAGATACAAACAGACAAGCCTGGATTCTCAGCCAAGACATGTCAAAGGCATACAACTCTGTCAATCTGGAAATGTTAACTTTAACCTTCAAATGTATCAGGATCCCTCCTCAGATCATTAACATCCTCCTGAACATACTCAACTAAAGACAAAACATAGTATTAACATGCCATGGACTCATAGCAAAATATGATGTCGAGAATGGAATTGACCAAGGGGACACAATATCTACACTTCTCTAGCACATCTTTTATAATCCACTTATAACCAAAATTAATCAAAACTTCTCAGGATATACAATCTCTACAAGATATGCAAAATCTTCAAGATGGTTGGTCCATAAAAAAAGTGAATATTGCAGTCAGCACCTATATGGATGACATCACCTAGATTATAAACAATAAAGAAGACATAAGAGAAATCATCAAAAAAGCTGAGGAATTTTATTATATTAATGATATCAAAATCAATCCACAAAAATTACAACTCATCATTATTAATGGAAAAGGAAAGGACTTTGAACAAGGGATAGTAGCTGACAACCAGACCATCCAGGGCTGCCCCAAAGGAATGTCAATTAGAATCTTGGGAGTATGGCATAATAGTTCAGGAAAGAAAGACTATCAAAGAAATCTGATTCAGCAGAAATTCAGAAAGATCAAAGCACTCATAAAAATGAAAAACCTTATAGACAAACAGATGCAATATATCATAAATCACATCCTAATACCTAGCGCTGAATACCTGTGCAATGATATGATTCTATTAGAAAAAGCATGCAATTTTCTTATAAGTAATATCACTTTAACATTCAAACACAAACTAGGCTTAGCTAGAATGACCCCTAATAATATTCTATATAACAAATACAAGTACAACATAATTTACCTATGGGATAGACAATTATTACTCACACCACAAACTGGACTAATAGAATCAATGGAAACAATAGGGCAGGAGCAATCGCAAGAATAAGACTTCAGACCCTGCAAAATGAATTCTGGTCAATACATCCCATTATGAACAAAATAGAAAGTCCCTTGAAAAAGCTAAGCAACAATCTCATACATGATATTATATGGCTCCTGTGAAGACATGGCTTCACAGTATACTTGCCACAAGAAACTCACAGCCTAACCCTTATAGAAAAAATTGACACTTCTATTGAAAATATAATAAGCAAGGCTTTCTTCGTCAAATACTGAAAAAATCTAAAGAAATACAACATCCTTTTTACAGGACAACTCCTCAATATAAACAAAACTAAAACACTAGAATGGTGCCAAGTTATCTGAATCAATAAAAGATTTATCCCAGGTCCAACCCCTGGCTGGTTCACTACTATACAAAACAAACTCAATGAAACACTAGAAATCAAAGCTCAAAATGATCTAAATATAACCAAAAACGTTTTCATACAAGGCATACTCATCACTAACCTTTCAACAACTAAATCTTACTGGATCTATACAACAAAAAAAGGCATCACACCCATTGATAAAAGACAATAAAAAATAAATCAAAATATCATCAAATACAGATACTATATACAAAATCTAGAAAGTTTCTCATTGGAGGCATGCAAAAGATGTACAATTAATATCTTGGAGGATCAAATAGGTGAATGCAGCTTCATGGCCATCAAACAATAGTCTATTTCAATACCAATTCATAAAAGCATGTCTTCAGCAAGGAAAAGCTATCACATAGAAAGAGAAACAACTTGGTGAAACAGGGTCTCCCCCAACTCCCTATCCATTATACTCTCTGAACATACACAATCTCTTTCAACTCAACAGGAAGAAAATATTGAAATTCACCCTCGAAAAAGCTCACATTCACATTACAAGCAGTTGAAAAAACTACTCAACAGCTCTCCAGAAAGCTTAGAAACACTAGCAACAATTAAAGAAAAGCTAGAAACTTACATTATCTTTGAGATATTCACTGATGGCTCCCTAAACAATTTTAATGGAAAATACTAAATGGGTCTAATTTGGATCATTATTACTTCAGACCTGAAGGAGTACACCTTCCAAGGACAAATAACTACATACCCATTATTCACTAGAGCAGAAATAACAGCAATTCTCATAGCACTTAGTGTTATACCTAAACACAGCTCAGTAACTGTATACACAAACAGCCAGGCAGTGATCAATGGCATTCTCAGAACCCAAAATGAAGATCCAAAAAAAATTATAAAACTCAAACCTCCTGCTTCAAATAATAGGCCTATGCAACCAGAACCAAATAAAACTATTCCTACACAAAATAAAGGAACACTCAGAAATTGAACACAATGAACAAGCAGACCATCTAGCACAGATTGACAGATGGAAAAGAATGAGACTGAGTGAGAAAGTAATCGCGATCCTAAGAATACAACATGGCCCATTAGATATAGTTTCCCAATAGAACACCACCTCCACAGAAATTCCTATAAAAATAATCACAAAAAAGCTTACTCAAATAATTCACCTAGCAAAATGGAGACTCCTTAATTGAATAAGATATAACTACAATAAAAGAATAATAAAAGAAATACACTGGCAGACAACTACTACCCTATTACAACCAACCAAAATAAGCAATCATCACACTGACTGGAAAAACCAAAAACATAGAGAATTCTGCCTCAGCATCTGAAATGACGAATTGCTAACCAAAAGCAAATTACATGCTATACAATAAATGCCCAAATACTACGAACCAAAGACTGCACACATTCATTCATCTGCAATCAACTCAGATCCAAAACTGAAGAGTTTTTAATCAATACTGTAACCACTTATGTTAAAAGTTACACAGCACAAGAAGAAGGAAAAAAGTTTGAAAACAAATTTACAAGCAAAATGAGTTGGGGATACAAAAAATACTTAATAGCAAGTATCAGAGGTGCCTTCTTCAAGGAGCTAGTCTTCTATATCCAAATTGTCATCCCAGACAGACTGAACAAAAAGACCTGTCTCACTCAAATACGCAGTGATATAATCAATTTCCTATATAAAACCTGGACAAAAAGATTCGAAACATTTAGAAGTGGAAGGCCACTATGGACATTACAAAAAAGAAAGAGAAACAAGCAAAATACGAGTTCAAAAAGGAAGATTCAGTATTTAACTCAAGGGAAAGATATATAAAAGATCAATATATCAGGCTGGTCAATAACTTTATAGACCAGTGGCTCACAAATATCATAGACAACTCCTTTATATTTGAAATTTATTTCAGCACTGACCCAGCCTTGACAGGTTAGCCCTCTCACAAGGAGTGGCAACAAGCCACAAGGTGAATACTTCTATAAAGGGAATCCTTTATTGAGTTTTATTTGGTAGAAAACAGGTAGTAAGTTCTAGAGTAACCTTCCTAAGTAATTTTGCTACAAATATATAAATAAAACAAGGCTGAGCCAGCATTAAAAAAAAAATAAATTGTTTGAAATATAATTTTTTGAGTTATAAAAATTATTTTGCTATTTTTAATTAATATATATATAATTTGTTATAGAAACAACTTAAATTATTTAAATATATGTATGTTCATGTAACTTAACTTTATTCCTATCTGTATTTTCTAATTATTGTTCTTAGATTTTTAATATTCTTTTAAACTTTACAAATATTAAGTATTAATTGATTTATCAGTTAAAACCATTGTATTTCTAGATTTTTTCTAATATCTATAAAGACAAAGATATTAATCTACATTAGTCTAGTTAGGAATTAAAAAAATCAATATTGGATCTCTTAATCTTACTATGATTTAGATTTTCTATTTTGTGATAAATTAAAATAATATTATTAATTTATATTTATTTAATAGTGATTTATTTATTAAGTCTTATGTTTTGTCTTGTGAAAAATGTCTTGTGAACATTGTTTCCTATATAATACTAAGATTTCGGATATCGACTTTTTTCAAAAAATTATTAAAAAGAAAATTTTGAAGGAGAAAATAGATCGGTAGAAAGTATTTTTTTTTTTAATATCATTAATAAAGTATTAATTGTGATTCTAAAATAATTATGGAAAAAGCCGAGGTAGGTTACTTATCGTCTCACATCTAATATTTGCTTCGTACTTTTAAAAAAAAAATCTTATCATAGAAACAAATTTGATTTTTGGGATCTTTTTTTGATACATTAGATATGTATATTGCGATGACTATCATGGGAAGCTACGTTGTAAACAAATAACCGGTTCGGGCATCACATGATGGACGCCTAACGCATGTGTTTATAGTTACGCATAATATATTGGGAGTGTTTATTTTTAATTTCGAAGTCGAGCGAACATTGTTTTTATTGCTAGATGCGTATAAATTATAAATGTATCTCATTCATACCTAGATACTGTTATCCTTAGTATTCAATTATAAAATAAACTTTATAATAAATGAAATTGATAGGGCATGTGAAAATATAAAGAATATCTGTGCAATTTTAAATATCGAATTCGAATACTTTATCGTATCTTTCCCCGCTAGCGACGTTAATAGCTGTTGCCTGAATCTCTACCATTCCAAAATTCAAAACATAGAGAATCGGACGCAACACCTCTCCAGTTACAGGAACGGCAAAGTTGAAATGGTCTAACAGGGTTACCCCTGTATCATCACAGAATTTTGCATCTTCTTCGGACGTTACGTAAAGATCCAGGCAGGCCCTCTCTTGAATGATGCTTGTTGGAGCATATATGCGAACAACCTTTTGATCCACTGCAACCTTGTCACCTTTTTTGCCCAGTCGCTCAAATATCATAATATATTTACCAGACTTGCGTTCCGGTGGATCATCTGGCGTCCAATCTCTCGCGATTTGAGTCCCTAAAAATTGTAAAATCAATCATTTGATCGAACCTGTTATTTCATGTAATAAAATCCTTTTACCATATGTCCATTTCAGAACTCTGTCAACTATCACTTCCTGTTTTAATCCGAACTGAACAGCGCCTTTGACAATAGCAGCAACGGGACTGGGTGGAACTGGTATGTTTCTAACAATTTCACCGAACTCCTCTCGAATTCTTGATTGCAAATACCTTGATTCACTGAATCCACCGACCAAAAACATTACCGAGCAGTTTTCGCTGCTATTTTTTAGTTGTTCGTCAATTAACCTAATTATTTTACCCACAACTGGATCGAACATCCCTTTGACATCTTCAAACTCGAGTTTCACAACCCATTCGGCGTCTTCCATGTCCTCTCTATTCTTTCCCTTTACATATTGCTGCAAAACCGGGCACACATCCTTGCAAATAAATCAAATAAATAAGTCTAGATGTAAATTAAAATATATGGAATCTAGACGCTAGTTTGCTTACTTCTAAATCGAGTTCCACTTCCCTAAAATCTCTGCGATTTCCATTAAACGGAATTTTTACCCTTCGGCAAAACTCTTGAACCATATATTGAAGTTGTCCGTAATGATTTTCTTTAACTATTTCGATCGCTGTGTTTCCAACCTTTCGACCAATAAATTTGATGAATTCTCTGTCTACATAACTTCCCCCACAAAAATCCCCTTTACGCTCCGTGATCTCGCTTAACTTGTTACCAGCTAGAAGCTTTCGCGTGGTCAAGTCCACGGTGCCTCCTCCACAATCCACTACCATGAACGAATCTAAATATATTTCGTATCAATTTTGTTAGGGGTTTATCCTAAGTAATGAAAATTGCAAGTCGAAATAACATGCACAAACCTCCAACTCCCAAGTCATGCTCTTTTAAAGCCTTCATGCAATGTACCGCCGCAGCCTCGGCTGATTTATGCAGTTGCAAAAAAATTCTTATTTAAAGTCAGGTCATCGAAAAGTGATATTCAAATTAGGTATCTTACGTTCTGTCGTAATCAATAAATTAGGGCTATCTCTCTTATTTATTAAACCGGCCTTGAGGTTTGACAAATATTTTTAGTCTAGCAGAGTTGAAACCTTGTTGTATCAATTAATTTTATTCGAAATATCGGATACCTTAAAAGCGCATTCGCGCATTGTGGCCATTGCGGCCGCATCAAATTCTGCAGGAATCTGAAATTTTTGTTTTGTAAAGTAATGCCTAAGACAAGGAAACTGTTTACATGACCATTAAGAAATAAGAAAAATGTATGCGCACCGTAAGAACGAGACAAACGTGAGTGAAAAAATCAAGAAGTGGCCAACGAATTTTAAGGGTCTCTTTGAGCGACTTGGCCATCTCACGCAAGTAATCAGTAATCGCCGTTTTGTAATCAAGCTTGGGTGGGAGAGGAGGTTTGTTTTCCGTGTCTCCAAGGTGAAGCTTGAATAATTCGACAGGTTTTTTACTGTTGTTTCTAGATCTTCTGGTCGGTCTTTCTGTTAGAGCAGGATAGCCCCAATTTTCAAGCTCTAAATTATCATCGTATTTTAAGGCCGTTGGCGTTTTGAATCGTCCACCGTATTCCGGCCAGTCGATGTTAGTGGTTATTTCATCTGGATTTTTTATGTGGGCATACGCATAGCCCTATATCTCAATGAGCGTTAGAAAGAAGTTGCAATTTTGCACGTTGAACTTCAGACTTTATCAAAGGGAACACTCACAGAATAGGTTGTACCAAAATCTACAAAATGAGTTTAATTGTTAATGAATAAAGGGTCATGAATCTTATTATTGTTAAATTGAGTTTTAACTTACCAATGGCTGCAACTATGCGGATATCGCTTTCTGTCATTTTGAGCTTGATGGTTTGTTTATGAAAACTCTGTCGCTAAGGAAGGTGCTCTTGATATTTTTATATTTGATTGATATCAATAAACCCAACAATTATGACTATATTGATTGCGGTATAAGGAATGTAGATGTGTAACTTGCATTCATAATGTTGATATCAACTTGCATTCATAGTGTTGATATCAACTTGCATCTTTTCTTACGCACGTACAAAGTTTATTGACAAACAACGAGTATCAAATAAGAGTACGAAAAACTTTAAAAAGTAATCCGGATGAAAATGTCCGTTAAATATATTTTAATCTGGAAATTTGTTCTACATCAACATATGTTTCGCCACCTTATCAGCGCAGATCAGTAGACGTTCTAAAGAGAAGATAAACATCATAAATAAACCCCATTGGAATCAAAATTTTACTTCAACAACATACGATAATCTCGAAAAATATAATTACCGGCCTTCCCAAGATGACCCAAGATTTCGACAGTCGGGGTGGCAGCAATCAAGGTGCGGTAGAAATGGACATAACGCCTAATGTAGAGAATAAGGTCCCGGAATCTGAGAAGACTAACGAAATGGATGTGGATCAAAAATTTGATTTAGAGGATAGGATGCGGGAACTTGCAGAGTCAAGAAAGAGATTGAGCGAAGAAAGTCAAGAACTTGAAAAGGCGAACAAGAGGTTAAGGGAGCTTGAAGAAACTCATGAGACATATAAAAAGAAAGTTCTAGAATTTGAAGAAACACAAAGATATTTAATGGATACTCGCCAGAAGCTTGAAAATGAGAAATTTTATTTGGAAAATAAAATTACACAATACGAAGAAAATAATAAAACTTTATTGAATTATTGCCAGAAGCTTGAAGATGAGAAAAAAGACTTGAAAGAGAGAATTTTAACATGCGAGGAGGATCAAAGAATTTTAATGGATAATAATCATATTCTTGAAAATCAGAAAAAGGATTTGGAAGGGAGATTTTCAACTTTGAAGCAACAAAGCAACCAAAAACTTAAAGAAGCCACCGAAAAATATGAGACTTTACACAGTCAAGCTAAAGGGATTATTGAAGAAAGAGAACAAACCATCAACAGACTTCGAGCAGATAGAAACAAATATCGTACCATGTTTGAGAAAGTAAGTCAAAAAAATGAGGAATTGAAAGAAGAGGCATCCGAGTACCAATTGGCACTTGGCAACGTAAGGAATTTTCATTTGGGCGACAACGATCAGAACAACGCTGTGCAACTCAACAATGATATTGGAAACTTACAAGATATGATTGAAGAATACATTACTAATTTAAAAGGTGGCGTAAATCTCAACTACGATATGATAAACGATCTTTTGGCACATTATGGCTCTCAAACGCAAGTCACTCCTCAAGCCCCTAATAAACCTCTGATTAAAGCTGTTCTCCAGCGTCTTGTTTTGCGAAGAATTTTACAACACGCAAATAAATATTTCGATACACCAGATCAATCATCAGAACTCCTCGAGTCAAACATTGCTCGTCTGACGGATGATTTGACCGAATGCGTTAAAGAATTATCAAATAAACGAGTCGGATCCGATCAAATAACTCAAGCAGCACCAATAAAATTACGCCAACAAGTCTACGCCATACTTGGTCATCGTGGATTCGCAGACTTGCGCGAAGGAAACTCGGCCGTTATGCATTCGTTCTTGAATTATTATAATGAACTTAATTATATGATAAATCAATATCGTTCGTTCAAAGATCACACGAAGCAAGTCAAAGTCGATGATATGGCGGTTGAATTAATTCGAGAGGTGGTTAGGATATTTGAATTTCGTTTCAAAGTTCAGGAACCAGCTATTACCTATCGTTGGTTTAAATATGGTGAAAGCATAGAAAAAAAATTTATGAAAGTACAATGCGATGACGACGATTTGAAGAACGCTTGTGTTGACATTTGTTCTTTCCCCTTAATCGGAAGGAATTTGAAATCCGCAGACTTTCAAATATTCACTCATGCTAAAGTTTTCCCTCGAATTAATGAACCTAGATCATTATTTGGTCGTGTGAAAGATGCAATTATCGGAAACAAGGGTGCACAAAGTCAAGAGTTTCAAGTTGGCCAAGATGCTCAACCTAAAACAGTTTCTTCCAAAAATATGGTTACTCTTGAAGTTAGAGCTTCGGATACTTCTAGGCCTTCTAGAACTGAAGTTCTTGATGCTCAAAAACCTGACACCTCACCTAAATCTACAGGTAATCCTGTTAATTTTAATTCTGAAAACAATCACGATAGCAGAAATGCTCCTAGTACCACTAGACCCGAGGATAATTCTGAAACTATTAAATCTAACACCAAGGATATTAACTCCTATAACCAGGAGGACAATTCTAATGCTCATAATCCTGACGATAACACCAATATTCTTAAACCTGAGGATAGTCTTAACTCACCTAAATCTAATCTTGACGATAATCTTCTTAATCCACCTAAACCCGAAGATAATTATGGTCCACCTAAATCTGATGACAATATTAATACGCCTAATCCTGAAGACAAACCTGACCCACCAAAGCCTGAAGATAACATTAATCCGCCTAAACCCGAAGATAATCGCGATACATCTAAAGTTGAAGATAGTCTTAATCAACGTAAACCCGAAGATAGCATTATTCCATCTAAGCACGAAGAAAAATATAGTCAATTAAAATCCGAAGATAATTGTGATCCACCTAAAGATAAAGATAGTCTCGATCAACGTATGCTCGAGGATAGCTGCAATTCTCCTAAATCCGAAAACAAATCCGACTCACTTAAACCCGAAGATAATATTAATTCATCTAAACTTGAAGAGAAACATAGTCAACTAAAATCCGAAGATAATTGTGATCCACCTAAAGATGGAGATAGTCTCAATCAACGTGTGCTCGAGGATAGCTGCAATTCGCCTAAATCCGAAAACAAATCCGACTCACATAAACCCGAAGATAACATTAATTCATCTAAGCATGAAGAAAAACATAGTCAACTAAAATCCGAAGATAATTGTGATCCACCTAAAGATGGAGATAGTCTCGATCAACGTATTCTCGAGGATAGCTGTAATTTGCCTAAATCCGAAAACAAATCTGACTCACTTAAACCCGAAGATAAACTTGCCTCGTTTAAACCTGAAGATAAAGTCATTCCGCCTAAGCATGAAGAAAAACTTAAACCCGAAGATAGTCGCGGTCAACCTAAAGCTGAAGATATTTTCAATAAACAGAAACCCGAGGATAGTTGCAATCCACCTGAATCCGAAGGAAATCTTAATACACATAATCCTGAAGACAAGCCTGACCCACTAAAACCTGAAGATAACACTAATTCATCTGAACATGGACATAAACATAATTCACTTAAACCTGGGGACGAGGACAATTGTGATTCACTTAAAACTGAAGATAATCTCAGTCAACGTAAACCTAAAGATAGTTGCAATTTATCTGAACTTGGGGGCAATATTGATCCTCCTAAACCTGAAGATAAACTCAATCCACCTAGGCCTGAAAATAAACCGGACCCACCTAAACCTGAGGATAATTGCAATTCTCATAAACCTAAAGATAATTGCGACGCATCTAAAACCGAAGATAGTTTAATTCAACGTAAACCTGAGGATAATTGCAATCCACCTAAATCTGAAGGCAATATCAATCCTCCCAAATCTGAGGATAAGCTTGACTTGCTTAAACCTGAAGATAACGTCAATCCACCTAAAAGTGAAGAAAAGCTTAATCAACTTAAACCTGTAGATAATCGCGACCCACCTAAAATTAAAGATAACTTCAATCAGTGCAAACCTGAAGATATTCGTGATCCAACTAC